ACCAACGGCAAATATATTAATTTTCAGTCTAAATGGCTCATTAAGGCGCTGTATGCAGTGAATTTTTAACTAATTGGGTGGTGAAGTGATGAGGCAGCGGAGGAGGGGTAACGCCGCTTAGCGGCGCGCAGCGCGCGAGTTTCGTCGACGCGCCGCTAGACCATTCATTACCTCGTGTGTAGTGATGGGCCGTAGGACACTATCGATAGTATCATGGAAGACTGTTGAAAATGTACACAGATGGTCCCTATAATATCTTTTATAGACCATGATTATATTTTACTCTTATATTATTATAGGAATAGTAATAAACAAACAAATATAAAGTTTGAGAAAGCAATCAACAATTTTAGAAAATCTACCTATTAATTATTTTAAATTATCAGGAAACGGATTAGAATTGATTAAAAATACATCTTAAGGTCAAATAAATTAATAAAGGCAAATGACATTTCTTACAAAAAAACAATAAATAAACAAATAATTATTTTTAAATATGTAGAATAATTATTTATTTTGATTATATGAGATTATAACTTTAATTACGCAATTTCATAGTCTCCACGGCAGAAATTACGAATACGACTTTTTTATTACATATTTTCTTAAACTTTATATCTTTAATTTATCCTTTAAATGTGAAAGACTTACTACGTTATATTAATTCCTCAATGAAATTATATTTAAAAAATTATCGATAAAATTCCTTATATCGATAAACGACAACAATTATAACTAGAATTGAAATATTGTTCCCTTCCGCAGACATCGTGTAGCCTATTGGTTCGAGCGTCATGGTTGATACATCTTTTTCCAATTTTAATTTGTTAATCAATTAATTATTTTGTTGTTATTTGATAAGACGTGGAAAATACAAAAATTATAAAACAATTATTTTTTCGTGTTCGTAAAAGAATAGGTTTCGTTTTAGGGTGAAAAATTAAATATTTTAATAAAACAAATTAAAAACAACATACAATATAAGACTTGTTAAAAATTTTAAATAATGAAAACTTGGTTTATTATCTGATAGATTGTTCTCCAACTGTTGTTACTACGTTCAACAAATACAATAATATTTCGTTGTAATTATTTATAAAATTAAAAAAAATTAAAAAAAATACCTACAAAAAGAAAATCACCAAAAAACATAACAAAGAAAAATGTAGGGATTTGAACCCAATCCCTATAGAATGATGGTCCTCTACACAGTGTTACCAACTGTTCAAAAATTATACTCCTAAAACAATTCGAAAACCGACTAAAATTTATTAAATTCAATTTTTTTATATTATAGGAAAAGGACAAGAACATCAAATATAACATAATTCATTTGAAATGAATATGTTAAGAATAAAATGAAAACAATATTAAAAAAAAAAAAATTAGAATACATAAAATATTCATACCAGACACATAGGCCTTGGCCTGACGTCATCCAAAGCAGCACTGAATTTTTTTTAAATAAGTTGTTTTGTTTATTTTTTTCGAAAATGTGAATAAAATTTAACTCCTAAAAAATATTCCCATAAAAATTTACCTCCCAATAAACTTCCATTCCACATTTTTTATTCCTAAATTTCGGAAGAAAATTCCTAAGTTGGCATCCCTGCCTTTACACTGTTTGTATAGGACTGATAAACTTATCAATGACAAGATAAGATATTGAAAAAATTACGCTTTAGTTGTTAATTCATACAAATAATTAAAATACGAAATATGTGAATATATATTTTTTAGTCTCGTGTTTTCGAAAGATCTAATAAAATTATAACCCTCAATAATAAATAAATACGGAACATATTTCGTAACGGTGAGCGGAAGACGAGCGGCATAGGTGCATCTAGCAAGGCGCCTCAGCGCTCTCTGTTCAACGTGTGGAGTTGGAAGAGAGCCGAAACAACGCCGCGGTGGCACGGTGTTATGCCCATCGCGTTCGAATTAATTTTAATGAATTAAATTAATGTTTAGAAATATCTTACATCAATCAAAAAATTAAAACAACAATCCTTTTTATTAATATATTCTACACCACTGATATTAATTTCATTAAGATTTGTTGATGTATTACGTTCATTTTTGGTTTTGAATTTATCTTTTAGAGGTAGTTTCATGATTTTTTTCTATCGCGAAAATATATCGAGAATATGTGTTGGAAACAATGTTCCCTTAGAATGTACGATCAAGATTAACATATATTTTTTTTGCTGCTATAAAATGTGTAGATTTTGCTAAAAAATCTTTTGAAAAACCTATTTTTACTGTATACATCGTCTTAATATTAACAACGCTCTAATTGGGACATCAATCAATTATTCAACAGGAGTTTATTAAACAGTGCCGTTACCTAATCTACAACAGGACCGTATTTTTTGTACTGCATTCAACAACGAACCAAATATAATTATTTTTCTTTAAATGTTCGTGATTGTCTGGTACGTCAAAGCATGACTAGATAGTAAAAACGCAGACGAGGCGTTAACGAATATAATTATTATTATATGTACATAATATGTGCTTGAAGAACAGTGCACGCTTGAAATCAAAACGTCAATAAATCGATATATCGTGGGCGTAGAAGGAAAACCTGCTAAGTCCATTTTTGGCTAAAAATGCGTTCTTTGCGTCCACATAATGTTTGGGGGGTTCTGCAGTAGAGTACCGGGTCTCCATTAAAAAAAATCGTTGTCCATATTTCAGGCTAAGTCATTCAGCTAAGTCCTGAAGGAATAATGCGATTTTTCACGACTTATTGAATTTTCAAATCCATTTATCTCCAAATGACGAATTTCGTACTTAGCGGGTTTTCCTTCTACGCCCACGATATATTCCTGTGCTTTATTGTAAGCAATATTTGTCTTCATGATTCATTCTAGGCATACCATTCAGAATGTTTTAACTGCTAACTGCTTTTAGAATAGGAATAGAAACGCAATTATGTTTTTCGTATTTACAAATAACATCGGACGTTGAAAGATTTTTACGAGGGTGACGCTTCACTTGCTGGGCTTAGAGAAACGTCATCATCGTTAAAAAATATAATAAATTTTTTAACAGGTCTGTAGTAATATCTTGCGTAAGTACCAAGTGCGTGAACACACTTTCACATATTTTAATAGCTCGTATACCTACATGTGGTTCAATGAGGAAGTTGCCTTATTGCTTCCTCTCATCCGCTTTCATGCCGAAAGTTTGTTATAGAATCAGAACCAAAAGGCTTCTTATATTGTTGCAATTTTAATACATAATCATTAAAAATACAATATTTCATGTTGCACTTATTGCTTAATTCAAAAGGAAGAAACAAAAATTGGTTTGGACCGTATCTTGTTTGGCTGAAGTTGGAAGTTGACGTAGTTTCCCAGTTTAACTTGATCCGTTGATTTACAGCCTGCACCCAGTTAATCAGTCGATCGGACGGCTTATATTCCGCGTGCGACGTTGTAAAATCAAGACACAATGTCTTGGCACCGAAGTGTCTGCATAACTTTGGCCGGGCGCGAGAGGGCCACAGCCAGAACTTTATGCCAACAGCACCTGGCACATCCTTTCGTTACGTGAACGTATTAATATAGCAGACAAGGGCAGACTCAATCGCAACGGTTCGCCCCCCACGTGATCCAATTATTTCTAATCTGCAATACATCGTCTTGTGGTAAATTATACGTGCGTTAACTCCCGATTCAGTTTCAATGTACACATAAACTTATATGTCAGTTCTATCGCGTGCATTCCACACGAATAAATTTACAAAAGTCTTTTAAAATTTGTAGAAAAATGGAAAAAATGTTTCTCGCCGATGTGGGAATCGAACCCACGTCTTCCGGAATCGCGCCCAGACGCTTTAACTCATCGTCAAAATCTCTACGTATTCATCTGTTGGCTTTTCTAACATTAAGCACTGTATTATTAATGGAATTGCGTTTTCGATTTTTAAGCGATTAATTTATTTACGGAATCGCGATACTGCAAGTGTAGAAAAACGTAATGTATGTTGTAATTTTTTACCTATTTCGACACAATGATGACATCAAACTCTACCGATTCGATGGGTTTGTATTGTAAGGCTATATCGGAGAAAGACGAGCGTTACATCTAAAAATTAGGAACAGATATTATGTACTCGCTATCAAAATGGCTATTATATATAATATATTATATAGAAATGCAAATCGTCTTAAAATTGCCTTCCGCTACTAGGAACTGTTGCTCAAGCTCTTAGAATTTTTCATTGATTATTTTCGTGTTAACTTAAGCGAAAGAGAAATATTATGCTGTTGTCTTTAATTTTAAGAATTGGAAATTGGGAATGTTCCCTGCGAGTATTCTGACTTTACATGTTAGATTGTTTTATTAAATGCAAAAAGTTTAAAATGCAATTCACTGCAGAATCTTCAGCGCAACCATATTATGCGCAGTTAATATTATGCAATGTAATATGCGTGTCCCGGATAAATGAGAAATTTCGAATTGTTTTGGTATTTTGTCACTACATCTTGATGTTAAAAAATCTTGTTTATTGGATTTGATTTAGGAGTATATCAGAATGTTCTAGAAAAAATACTCGTGGCATGATCAGTTCACTGCGCTGTTCGAATAGATGTGATAAAAATTTATATAACAATATTTTAGTAGTAATTTTTGTCATATTTCAAATACTAATTAGCGTATGATAATCAGTGATGTGCAAGAAAAGTTGGAGTGTGCATCTCTAATTGTGGTATACTTCGTTCAGTAATATTGTGTCGTGGAAAAAACGTAAATTTAAGTTTCTAAATCAGAATTACGACATTATTATTCCTCGCAATTCCCATAAATGTAATATAACTAATATATATAAATGAAGTACAGGGCCTAAATTTACCACTTATAATTATTGCACCATTACATTACGGCCCCGCCCTAACGACTAGAAAGTTCGCAAGTTCAATGTCGCTCCCGGGGGCCTAGGAGCAACAGCTGGATCGATAGAGGCTGCTAGCGGAACTCTTCACATCACCATGGCGACCTGCAGCCGTGACCTGGAGGGGAGCGGTGCGCGGGGAGGGGTACGGGGCGTCGGGGGAGGAGGGCCTGCATCGAGCGGCCGGGCTGCAGTTATTTCGGTGCAACTCCACAGCCGCAGTCGCCCGCCGCGCCTCCGATAGAGCGCACGTGCCAGTACTATTGCAATTACATACGCCCCCGTGCACTCTACCCGCTGTACGCGATACCGTTTCGTAACTTGTGCGTTTGCGTTCGTTGCGTTTATCTTTCTCTCCTCCCGTTGCCGCCACGGAGGAGTCCGCCCGTGCACCGCCGCACCTGTTGCGCTCGCGTTGTGAAACCGCGTGGAAAACTCTTTCTCGGTATCAGCGGACGCGCCAACTTTCACCGCTCACATTCCGCCAACACGGCGTTGTGCGCTTAACCAGTATTCGCGGCAGTATCAGCGTTAATTACGTGTCAAAGTTAGTTTGACGTCCGTCGTAATCTGCGACGCATTTAACCCCCCGTGATCTATTTTATTTGTACATCATCGATAAGCATCTATGTTAACAGGAAAAACGCGTGATTTCACGTTAAGAGCGAAACAATTAGATCTAGTATTGATTTTTTGCTTTGAGATGTGGCTCTTGTGCTTCGTTTGTATGCAAAGCTCTCAAGGTCATTATTTAGAAGCTCAGAGGAAGGGGGTGGTAGCGGGCGGTATCCGCCCCCTCACCACCCTCACGCCTTCCACGTGTAACGTGATTTATAGAAGAGGTCGGGGTTATATAAATGAATTACTCTCCGCGCTTCCAGTCAACAAGCGTTCCTACACGAGCGCGAATACATTATCATTGTTAGAGCAAAATTAGATTATCTTGAAGAGTTCAAGAAATAATTGCATAGACGTTAAATTTATCGTTTCCACAGTCCTATCGAGTCGATAAATGCGATCGATTATTAACAAATATTTGTGCAATGTGTGCGTCGGTCCAAGCATTTCATTCCGTCCGTTCATTTCATATTAGTTTGATAATATCTACACACGTTAGCTGATGCGTAATGGCGTAATCGTAGCCTTTGTCAGTATATCATCCGATCGGAATCGTTGGCGTCGAGGTGGGCTCTGCATCTGGCCGCTAGCCAGGGATGCAGCTCTGAAGGTCGCAGGTCGGGGGCGCGGTGGGCGGGGTGGCGGTGCGGAGGGGTGGGAAGGGATGCAACGCTGCGCAGGGAGTCGGAGCCTGGACATCGAGCGGATCAATCCATCTCCATGTTTAACCCAACCCGCATGTACCTACGGCGAAGCGGTCGGCCATTTTAAATCGGGTGCATCGGTTAGCCGCGTACCAATATTTTAATTATAACGCGATAGATACAGCCAGTTTTTGCAGATTATTGCCCATGCGTACCAGATAAAAGATAGACTCTCTGTTAGGGATAGGTCTGAAGGCAATGAGGGAAGAGTAAGTTCTTTGTTGTCATTATTCCGTGATTTGTTTGCTGTAGTCAAAATGATTTGTGTACGTGGTCGTTTTCTTATTCCGATTTAGATTTTCTTTTATTTTTATTAAACTGAAAGCTTTTTTTTTATTTCCTTTTGAGAGTAATTGTGTAATTGTAGAATTGTCTAGTGTTAGTTTTTACAGATAATCCGACTGTTGTTTCGTAATGAAGGCGCCATCGGTGAAATATTCACATGGGACACACAGCTCTTTGAGTGGTAAAAGTGACGAACGTTGTGTTCTACTTGTTGCTTCTGCAAGGAGGTCGTGCGTGCGCTATCACTTTCATCGCGGGGCGTCCAAGGCGGCACCTGGCGGCGGCTTGCGGAATCCGCGCACGCGGCGGGGCCCGGCGCGCGCGACTTTCGCTGGCGGGACCATCGACCGTGGTTCTGCTTTCTAAACCGTGTCGTAACCGTCGCCCGCCCCCGGGCAATTGTGACTCGCGTTACGCGCCGACGCCGCACGCGACGCCGTTCCGTTTTTTCCCTCGTAACGTTTTCGTGGACGCGTAGAAAGTCGCGCCGACTTTATCGCACTGGTAAAGGACTGCGCGAAGCTTTGTGAGTGAGAGCCGTTGCGGACGCACTGCGAACGAACGCTTTTGTGAAACTAACTGCTCGTCCCTCAAATGCTATCCTGTCTCGTTTTAGTCGAACGGATTGAAAGAGATCGATCTAGACTGTAGCTCGTGTAACGTACCTATACGACCCGGAATAAGTTACTTCTATACATTTTTTACACTAACGCACAGAAGTTTTAGTGCAAAAAAAGATCTATCTGTAGTATTTTTTCTAACTGTACTCGTTTTAGAATAAATAACTTTTCTCACGGTTTCTTTAAAAATAATCGCAGTCAGACTGAAACTGGTCGAACCTAGAAGGCAAAGACGTCTCTGTACTAGCAACGTCTTAAAAATTTCCTTCGCAGACACAACTGTAAATACTTCGTCCACCCAGCGAGAACGGCTCTTGTAATGATAAATTATGCAGCGACGGATATTCCACTAGCCGGTCTAGATTCGACCCGGCCTTGACCGCCGCGTCCTAGGTTGCCTAGGCGTCCTTGGGCGGCCTGCCAGCTCCAACTCCCCCCGCCCTCCCCCGCCCGGGACACTGGCGCAGGCAGGAAGTGACCGATATCGCCCATGGAGCTAAAGCCGATCAATACGCTAGCTCGGCTCTATCCGCGCCAACCTTTGTCCCAACGTACCTGCTAAGCGGACGCTACATAAATTGGAACGTCGTGGTTAGCGTCCGCTTGTTTTTATTCGCCGAGTGAAGGTTTAATACAGTTCAAACAATCGGTTTCGTTCGTTTCAATCAGCAAGGAGGTCGGAGTGAATTTTATTAATTAGCATCCGTAAATACCTCTGGCTTCTTTGGAAATGTAAGGACTCGTGTTACATTAGTTTTTGAAACCGTGTTCGAAATTCAAGTAAGTTTTTAATCTATTCGCATCAATTTAAATTATAACACATCACTTACTCGCGCACTGCGTTCAATTGGAACAGTTGCGAAATATTTTGTTTTTGACATTAAGTCCGCAACCGAAAGTCGTAATTAACCTCAATGATACGAGTAAACAGACCTGAGGTAATCCCCTTTTAATATGGCTCTGGAAATAAACTCACGCTATCTCTCGCTCCCTATATTCCACAGTACGAATCCACAGTTGAATGCGAGAGGAAACAGTAAATTGGCCGGCTCCGTCCTAGTTTCGTATGGCATCAATTATTACAGTTCGAACGATATCTATTAACGCAATACGAATGGACTGGGATATTATTGAATATTGAATGTCGTTTAAGTTATAACGAATCTTATATCACCGATATTAATGACTAGTTTATTCCCGCGACGCGCCCGTTGTTCTAGTAAAGGAGTATATAGTTGTAATAAGTTGTATTCATATATTGCGAACCCTGCAAGTTATCAAAATTTAAATCATACTTCTTATTTTGAACCCTATAACTTTTATTTTGGAAATCCGTTGCCCAGTTCCAGAGTTCAATTTGAGATTTATATACAGTCTGAGAATTCTATAAACCATAACTATACATAGATATAGATGTCAATAACAGTTTACAATTAGGCCATTTATTTTATTATGCGACGAAGCATTAAGTACCTAATTGATTGAAGTTAGCCAGGTGATATGTTTTTTCTTATCAAGAATTAGTTTAATTGTTTGAGTTTCTTTATGTAATATCGGAATATTATCATTTTACTTTACGTAGTGTTGTTAAGTTATTACGAACTTTAAATTTTCTTTTTTTAATACAATTACTATCCCATTGTACGGTTCGGAATATATCGGTTTTAATATATATCAGCCAGTGACGTGCAAAAGATTGATTAATTATTACTTTTTTTATTGATGCATTAATTATAATACTATTTTAAAAGGGCTTCTTTGTCTTTTTGAAGAGCTGACGGCACTATGGCACTCTGATTGCTGCAGTGTGCGGTAGTTTCAGAGTAGTATAGGTGACCTTCGCTAATTGATTCAAGATTCTCGTTCCGTCCAACGCGTTTCTGGCTTATATTCAGCCTTATAGGATCGATTGGCTTTGCAGATATGAATTCTAGAATTACTTATTTATTTACTAACTAATTAAATAACGTTTTTAATATCAAAGTTTATCAGAATAAATAAAATCAATGAAATTAGTAGGTTAATTTGCGTGGTTATTCGATATGCTTAGTCTTGTAGACTCGATTCTTTGATGTTAGGATTGGATTCTTACAGTTCTTTCTTAAGACATACATTTTTTAATATTCGAGATATTTATTATTACGAACTTAGACAGATATATAAAACATAGGGCTGAACAGAAGCTATATAAGTTTTTTTAATGTGTAATACAATAAGGAACTTCCAAGTCTCTTGCGTATGACTGAATTTCGCTTGTTTGACGGCACCATACTGTGACCGAAACGTTATAGCGATCCGCGCTTCGCTCGGGATAGACTGCCGTGACTCAGTCGGCCTTGAGCCACTATACAGGCGCGAACCGTCAACCACTAAAATATTAGTTTCATTTGTACACCGGTTAAGTGGACGACAGATTCTTTTAATTATCCACCGTTAACGGCCGATTAATCCTGAACGGACGGACGTCCGAACCGAAGCTCGAAGCGGCAATAAAATACTTCTATATCGCTCTACAATCGTCTGGTGGACTGTTTCTCGCAGCGTGAAAGTGTAATGCGCGTGCGTGCGTACAGCGGCGATGTTTTCGCGTGTCGCCGGCGGGCCGTCGAAGTGGAGCGTCTATTTGCGTCTCGAGGCCCGTCGTCCGTCGGTGACAGCGCGGCCGAAAAGCGGGCCTTACGGATCCGGATTACGTCGACGGATTATCCTGGCCCACGAGTCGCTTACTCCGGCGTTCGTCCCTAGCGCGGAGGAGTGCACGCGGCAGCTGAATCCTGGCGAGCGTGGACTTCTCGAAGCGAGCCCAGCTGGCGAAAGTGCCCGCGGAACCGTGGCGGGGCCAGAGGAGGCGCATCGGCCGGCGCGGGTTGCGTCAAGCGGCGTATTTCAGGCGGGCACCGGTCGCTGCACCGGGCGGTTTGCGAAACCGCCGGTTATGCAAGGCGGGCCGCTGCCAACTCGCGGCCGACGCACCGCCGGAAGGAAAAGTGGAACGGGCCGCAGTGGCGCGGCGGAGCGCGCCGCCCGTGCACGCCCCGACTGTGAAGTGCCCAGTGTCGTGTCAGTGCCGATTCCATGCGTGAGGCCCGTTGCGCAAGGCCCCCACGCCCACCGCGGGCCCGGACCTCATGTCCACACCGAATCCCCCTGCACCGCTCCCCATAGTGCCCCGTGGCGTTTTAGTTCTGCACGTGCCGCGTCCAACGCATTATGTTCCTATCATATCGCATTTGTGTCATTGTTCGCACTTAAATTACATAAATACTTACATGATCTCATCCTCGGTGTGTTTTCCTCGCGGCTCGTTCAAACGGAGGCTCTGCTTGGTCTCGCTGCAAGTGATGTAACGCAGCGAGTTTTATAATTAGGGCTGCCGCGATACGCTGATAAATGTTCCCTTGAAATTAGCAGATACGGCGTTCAACTTTCGCAATGTTTTTTTTTTAATATATGTATGTTGTGTTAAATAACCCATACTATTCTAATAACAACGGCGAAAACTTAATCGAGTTGGACCGTGTAAGAGAAACTCGAGCCGGAGCAATGTTTAGCTGGCGATGCATGCGGATGGGCTGTGACGCAGCTGCGAGGAAGAAATCGAAAGTGTGCGCTGGAGCGCGATCGGCACGAAGTGGCTGTTCGTCGTCCATACTAATAGGCGAGGCATTGCGAGCGCCTTACGAGGCACATTCCCGCTCTAACGACGCCATACCCAAGGACACCTACACGCAGCTGAATGGCAATTGAGCACGCTCGCTCGGTCGGAGTCTCGACTAGAGCCGAAACCGCTCCACTTTCGGCTTCAGACCGCCCGTGCGTGTTACGTGACACAACTTGACACGTCACGACGCCCGCCTGCGAACAGGCTTGTGGCATACCGAAGCTGCGGCCTGCGTATCGGGCCCGACGTGAAACGCAGAATCGCCTGGCCAGTAATCGCGCGCCGTAAAATAGGTCCGCTGCACATTACGTCATCGGCTGCAGCGCTGACGGGGGCAGCGTAGGCGTCGGCTCTAGCTCAGTACCTAACTGCAGTACGCACCATCCGATCAATCGATTTAGCCCGCCAGCTTATAAGAGGAATGCACGCTCGGTAAATCGCGAAACGCAAACAAACCCGCGAATCGTTATTCGGAAAATAAACGCTCTCGTGGTTCGATATAAAAAAGCCGAGTTTTCGAAAATGGAAACAATTACGCAACGAGATTCCGAAATAAGGTTCGCGTTATTCCAAACGGGTTCTTTCTCATTTGCCGCGCGTTAACATTCGTCTCTCCAATATGATTGATGTCTTCAAGTTAAGTGAAAACAAAACAGGTTATAAAACGAATGCATGACGAATACATTGAATTATGATACTGTATAAAACCGCTTCTGCGGTTGTGCAGGCGACAACAATTCAGATTGTAAATCGAACCAAGCAGAGCCCTTACATATGGATTACATTTCAAATAACTATTCATCGCTAACATACATACTCTAATGCTTATCGCGTGCGATTGCTTCATATTTAACCGCGCGGATGGAGGGCTATGTCAGTCTTGCAGTCGCCGGCGCAAGGACGCTAGTATGACCTACTTGCGCTCACCTTTGTTTCCAATCGGCCCAAGCGAAACTAGCCTCTAACGACATCCGAATAATTAAGAATTGTATCGCTGTACACGACTGCGACTTGCTTCCGGACAAGACGGTTCATATTCCAATATCGCTTCGGTTCTCCTATTTCGCTAGGATAAAGGTCGAATTGAAATAGTAAACGATAATTATTGTAAATGGAACTACTTTTAAACGCTACAGTTACGCATTCGAAGCTCGAGTTAACACCTACTCAAGTTTAATTCTTTGTACGTTCAATGACATTTTCGGATTGCATTCATAATCATAACGATTGAATAATGTTAATGAATTTAAAGATTAGTTCAACGCAGCGAAGTGAACATGTTTCAAGTACTTGCACATAGATTTGTTCTTGCCTCAATACGTTACACGTGTGAACTCCGCGGCCGACACTGCCAGTTACACTATGCCGCGTGGATAGTTTCAAGTGAAACCAGTCAAATAATTGCCATCGTAAAGATCTTTCCAGAAGCGGCTAGAAACTTAGTTTTATTAGTTATACCGTCCCCTTATATATCAGACCGCACTAAAGTAAATACATGTTCGTTCACTCTAATGCCGTTCATTATTAAAATATCACGCTTTCACCGCACTCTCTTTTGAAATTTTTCAATTCCTCGGGTGCTTTCCAAAAACTTGGCCGTGGGAGAGTTGGCTGTCGCTCGTTCGACGTGTACGTAACCGACAGCCAACCACTAAAGTTATTGCAACGGACGCCATTGCCGGCTTTAAATAAAGAAGTTAATTATTTAAACTTCACTTACCATTTAAACTTCACTACTTTAACTGGGCAGTTTAGTTGTAATAATTTATTCACTAAGCATTAGTGAAAACCTTCCTCAACAAACCTTTATCAACAAATACATTATCCATTTGTCCTTTTAAAAAGAATTAACCAACAATTAACCACTAACTTGGCTAACCGATTTGAAGTAATATAATGTGTAAAGTATTATGTCTACCTAATTTAGTAGTGTTAACGGCCATAGACGCTCCGTTTGTGAAAGGACGGCTTAGTGACGCGGTGATGACGCTTACGTGAACTCTATCGATATCGACGTTTTGATTTCGTCCCGGAGTTCGTATCAGGAGTGCGTTTGCAAAGCATGCGACAAGTTTGCGTTATGGCAAAATTGACACTGTAAATGCACTATCTGGTACGACACCCCGGGGCGTGTAGCGACGCTCCTGAACATCCGTACCGAGTACCATCAACCTTCGGTCCCACGTACCGATATGAACTTTAAGTGCTTTAATATTTAAAAACACAAAGTTGCCGATTTAATTTTATTTGCTTCCTTATTATTATATTGAATTTATGTTTTTGAGCTGTTACATGAGATATTAAATTTGATAATTTAAAAAATGTTATATTTATTGAACAATAAAAAAATATTTATTTTATTAACAATAACTGAACAAATTTCATGTCACATGATACAGCTGTATATTTGTCCGCTTACTTTATATTCTTTAATTATAGTTATATTCCTATTGTGTATTCTTTACATATTAATTGATATTCGTATTAATATTCTGTTCTCTTCTTACATTTATTCGTGAACACTATTTTAAATGTAGCATGACCTTCGTAATTGTTTATTTTTTGTGTATTCTATTACAGCTTTACGCGTAAATATTTTGTTTTATTTTTACATAGCTCCACCACTAATAGCTATTATTTGTAGTATTTTAACTATAATAAAATAAAAAATTATTACAAGATAGTCATGTGTAACTAGTATTTTCTATGGAGTGATACCCAACTTCTATTACTAGATGAGGCCATCGTGGAGTCTCGTCGTGTAACCTTGAGATACGAGCGCACTGCTAATTAGCGAATCTATATCTTGTAACGCTCCCTTCAAAGGCAATAGAGACTTGCTTTCAGCTGCCGCAAAAAATATAGAACATCCAATATTAATGATCTCCAATAAAGCGTAAGATGGTTATCGGCTCCCAATCACGCAATTACCTTCAATGTTTGTCTTAAAAAAACTATTACTGAGATCATTTGACAGCTGACAGTTCCGACGACCTCAGCTGCCCGTAGAGAAAAAGTGGACCGAGGTATAATTAGACACGCTATAACAGAGGCAACAAACAATGTTTCACCCGGTATTCATAGATCGTTTTATTCTCGCGTGGCCTTGGAAGTCCTACTCAGTTACTGGTACTAATGACTGTATACAGTTATAGCAACGTGAGTATTCTGTTGCAGCGCAATAAAACCCTTTCCCATTAATCAATTGATGATGCGCTGAAATCATATTTAAATTCGTGATTAGAGCGCGACCTAAATGAATTACCGATTAATGTATTTTTTCTGTGTGATATCGTGTCACATCACTATCCCAGTTTAGGGTAAACAGTGCATTGTTATTAAAATAAAGTTGTTGTACATCTCGTTTTAAGGGGAAATAAAAACTAACCGTTCTGTTTTTTTTTTTTTGTTATAATTTTAGTGATCACAGAAATTTGTACTTCGTGATTGGTAACTATGTATTTTTAGTTGAAAAGAGTAAATCATGCAACATACATTCCAGTAGGTCAAGCACAGTGGTTGTGCGACCACGGAATCTGTCTTTAGGAAGCCGTACAGAGACTTAAGTGGCCTTGCTTTTGTAATCTTATTTCGTACCATGTTACACGCTTAATGTGATAATAAATCAGGTGCAGACTTATTACCCATTAGACACTTTTTATTTCGTAGTATTTACTTGCTTATATATTTTTGTTATATAATTTTGTACCAATAAAACTGTTATTGTTGCTTTTCTGTTGTTTTATTTATTTATTTATTTTTATTATTTATAGTTAACTTTACGTTATTTAGAGAATCTGATCGAAACTTCTTAGTAAAATACATAACAATAATGTGGCATTGCCAATGAGAAATCCTGATTCGTTAAACGACTTAATTTTACTTACATCTTAACGATTAAAACTGTCCAGTTACGTAATATCATTCGTCTAAAAGTGCAATGAAAACTCGGATGACGTTTGCTTCGTTGCATTTAAAAGACCGGTCATTAAGAAAAGCCATCTTGAACGATCATTTTTATAATTAAACCCAGATGTCAATGTCACTTTTGTTCAATCTTTATAGAAAAAATGCAGTTATATATGGAAGCTGTTTGTTGATGTTTTAAATGATTCATTCTGCGTTTAAACTTCAAAAGTTAACCCTTAATACTATATATGTTACACAACTGGGCAAAGGTCTCGGTACATAGAACATTATATTGGAAATTGAATATAGACTATTTCTAGTCACTATGGCAGAGAACTTTTAAGCAAATGAGCTCAAATTGGTTCAACCTTTTATGCAATTCAAAATAAATATTGTTATATTGAGAGAATTACTACTTACAAAAAATTTATATATCTTTATTAGGTTATTTTCTTACTTTATTTTTTCGTGTAAAAACTAAAAAGCAGAATTTAATTTGTAAATAGAATCAACAGCCCAATAAAAATATAAGATGGCGCTTTCATCAGAGAATAATCGTCGAAACGAATCTCTTCGTCGAATAATATTGCGATAACTGTAGTAGTAATTAACTCTGTTCAGGAATTTTAAATTTGATTTTACGAGTACAGTGATAAATGGCGAACATTTGGAGACCAAACATTGATTAAACTGAACTTACTTCAAGGAGCAATAATTGTTAGTGAATCTTGTATTTGTGGAATAGTTCTTGTTGTGTGAACGTGGCTAGCTGAGTTACATGCAATATACAGAGATTCATATGAATTCGTATTTACATTTAAAAAATTGCCAAAAATTGGAAAACCTGTTAATCGAGCTGGTGGTTCACCTGATGTTAAGTGATCCGCGACACCCATCGATATTGCACTACTCGTAGCTTTGCAGATGCTCTATCACCTTTAACTACCTCACTCACCGGACGACACACAGAACTATAACACTTTCACGTCACGCCGGCCTTCTGTGAGTTCGTGATACTTCCCCGGACCTGCCCATGCGTGCAACACTGAAGACCGTTGCATGGCCTTGCCACAGTTAATGTTTATGTTTACATGTCGACGTTCTGAGCAGATTATGACAAAATTTGGTTCACTTGTTGATGTTGGCAGCATATCGCACGGTACACCGGCAACGTTGTTGTCGAAATTGTACAAAGATTGTTTATTATTTTATTATTATATATATATTATTATATTATATACTACCATTTACTATACCAGTTAGAAATATATGCTCGGACTTATTATATTTAATGTAATAGTGATAA